TAATTAGCTTTTTAGCTAGCAACATACCTGCTACAATGCTAATGCTATAGTAAGCACAAATTACTATAAATGGAATTATATAAATAAATATATTAATGGGTTTATGTAAACTATGTGACACCAAATACAATATGGTACTTTACAACATAAAAATTATAGAAATGGTCTAAAATCAAAAGTTATCTTATTTTCTGCTTGTTTAATTAGCTTTTTAGCTAGCAACATAACTGCTACAATGCTAATGCTATAGTAAGCACAAATGACTATAAATTGAATTATTTAAATAAATATGTTAATGGGTTTATGTAAACTATGTGACACCAAATACAATATGGTACTTTACAACATAAAAATTATAGAAATAGCCTAAAATCAAAACTTCCCTCTTTTTCCATTTAACTAGCTTTTTAGCTAGCAACATCACTGACAATGCTAATGCTATAAAATAAGCATAAATGACTATAAATGGAATGATATAAACAATGTGACAATAAAATGAAGTTAATATGGTGCTTAAAAACTTAAATATTTGGAAATGGCTTAAAATTAAAACTTTTCTTTAGTTTGCCGTTTGTTCAAGTAGATTTTCAGTTGGCGATTACACGACCGCTACAACCCATATAATTAAAATAAACCCTAAAATGACAAATTTTCATTAAATTTGTTTAAACAGTGGTATCAACTACCATTTATATAGTGCATAAAATAAAAATCTTTGGAAATGACTTAAAATTAAAACACATTTTTAGTTTGCTGCCTGTCCAATTTAGTTTTTTTTTTTTCATTCAACCTTTAAGACAGGCAAATCCCATTGAGCCTTATTAATGGATTCAAATAAACAATATGAAATTAAATACAACTTAATACGCAGTTTAAAAACTAAAATATCTTAAAATGGTCTAAAATTGAAACTTCTCACTTATTGCTAGTGCTTTGACAGGAAACTGTAAACAATGGTCTCAAAAGAAACACCATAAAATGACTTAAATAATGCATTCACATACCTAAAGTGACAACAGTTGTGCTTCAGTTGTTGCTTAAACACAAAATCTTTGGCAACAGTGTGATTTTCACTATAAGGCTGTAAAGAAAAAGCTGCCTCCAATGTTGGTTTGTTCTGCCCCCTAGCGGCCAAACACCAAAAATGCAGATTTAAAAGTAAACAAAACTGAAAGCTTTTCAAATGTTTTAAACTTTTACAGTCAAACTCCTCAGGTGTAAATATAATAATTACATACAAATGTTTTTTTTTTCAATTAGTTTAAAACATAGAAACTTAACAAGAAGGTGCATATTTCACCTCAAAGCAGAATGTAGTAAGAAAAATGTATTTACCCGTAAACGAGCTCATGAAAACTTGGTTCCTGGTTCCTCCTTGGGGTAAATCTCACAGCAGCGAAGCTTAAACCCCAAGAAATATCCCTGGTCTCTCCCCGAGTGAGAGCTGGTGGAATATTACTCTCATTGTTTACAATTAAATACTGTGAATCCATTCCAATCATTTAAAATCTCACCGGTGACATCGCTCATTTCTCTCTTCAGTTCAGGCATCAGTGTTGCTTTAATAACTACGACACCAGCAACCTTAGATTTAACACTGTGATGCTTTTTTGTCTAAAGTTTGAAGGGCTCTAATATTATTTACAAGAGTGCACAAGGTTTTTACATCACCAGGACTTTTTATTACAAATCACGAGTGGGAATGGATCATTAAAAAGTGCAAGCACAGGTCTTGGTACAATAAAAGGTCAAAGCAGCTACTGTTACAACAGCCGTCCGACTAAAACCAGACATGTATTTTCATCGTCGTACTGGACTCTTCAGAGATCAAAATCACGTGCAGGACAGTTCCAACCCGGCCATGATTGAAGGATTCTAATTAGTTATGAACTCTAAACGTGGACTTGTGATTAGCTGTCGCCACTGAAGGAGCGATGATGGAAGACTTTAGCGTTAGCGGCGTAATCCATATGGATGGAGGCGCCTAAACTCTGTGCAGCGAGACGGGCTCCTCCGAGGGCCGAGGACTGCTGTAGAATCAGGAGGCTGTAGCCACGGAAACGACCCTTCAGCTCGGCCGTGTCCATGACCTCGGTGAACCCTGAAGGGACAGACGGGAAGAAAAACATTTTATCTAACGGTTTACTTGTTGTGTGAACAATTATGAACATTCACTCTATTGTGATCCGTTCTTCTTCTTCTGTGCGTTTTTCAGCATCTTTCTCGTTCCACAGTTTTCGTGCCATTTCAACAAAACGTTCAGCTCATTCAGGACAATCCTGCTGCGACTTTTGGTATTGGTGCAACTTTAGCTTTTTGAGATTTTTAGCCTTTTCTGCCATTTTTTTCTTTCTTTTAGAAAATGAACTGAGCTCATTTTACCTCCTTCATATCTTTAGATGTGTTTACAACCTTTTACTGCTCCTTTCACATTTTGTTCTGCTTCAGCTTCTTTCAGCTTCCTTGTGCAAATTTAAACTTTTTTCAGCTACTTTTCAGCTGTTTTGTGCTCCTTTCAGCTAACTTAAACATTTTTGTGCTTCTTCTAACTTCTTTCTGCTAATTTCAGCTTGTTATACTCCTTTCAGCTTATTCTGCTATTTCAACTATAATATAAGAAATGTTTTCTTCTTCTGCTTCCTTTCATTTTATGTTTTTTGTTTAATTTTTTTCTTTCTAAAAATTGTCATTGTTTTTTATATGAAATGAATAAATTTACAATAAATAAATAAATAAATAAATAAATTTAGCTGTTTTATGCTAATTTTAGCATTTTCAGCTAATTCCACTTTTGTTGCACTCATTTAAACTGTTTTCAGCCTAATTCGGCAAAAATGTGCTCTCTCCACATCCTGGCAATTTAAGCTTCTTTCTGCCTTTTAGCTACTTTTCAGCTGTTTTTATGCTAATTTCAGCTTTTTTCAGGTGGTTTCCACATTTTGTGTTCATTTCTGCCTCTTCTGACTTAATTGGGCAAACGTGTTCTTTCGGCTTTCTTTACTAATTAAGGCTTGTTCCACCTTCTCAGCTACCTTTTTAGCATATTTTAGCTAATTTCAGCCGTTTTCAGATACATTCAAGTTTTTCATGGTAATTTCTGATAGTTTCAATTTGTTACGCTCCTTTCAGCTTATTTCTGCTAGTTTCAGCTAATGTTTAGCTGTTTTTATGCTAATAGCTTTTTCAGCTAATTCCACATTTTCCCACTCATTTCACCTTTTGTGTTCTTGCTGTGTTCTTTTGCTGATTTAAGCTTGTCTTAATTTTTTTGTGCTAATTTCAGCTGTTTTTCAGCAAGTTCTTCTGCAATAAGCATTCACACTGCATTTTCGCAGGAAATGCAGTTCCTCTAGTTTATTTATAAATGTTTGTTCTGTTACTGACCCGGCTTCAGGAGAGACCAGCTCTTCCACACGGAGCCCACGCACAACACGGGCAGCCCCAGGTCGCCGCTTAATAAAGGCTAACAGGAAAAAAGAGGAGGAGAGGAGCGCTTCAGCCTTTGTGATGGAAATGTGAGCTTGAAGCTTTAAGCTCGCGTGTGTGTCGTTACCTCCTGCGCTGCAGGTAAAACTGCCACCACGTGTTCAGCGAGGACCCTCCCAGCCCGAGCGAACACGTACCGACTGAGGGCGTCTCCAGCTTCTGCAGCTTTGGACACAAATAATTTAAATTCACTTTTTTTTTTTTTATCTTTACTTAAAAAAAACAGAAAGCAGGAATCAAAGTGCTGCCTACCTTCAGCCACCTTCTTGCAGAAACCAGCAAAGAAAGATTTCTGGAAGTTTCTGTAGAGATGTGGCAGCATCCCCATCAGATCCGACACCTGGGATCAAAGATTTTTATTGATTGTGTGAATGTTTATGAAGAATTGTCAATATTGTGATCCGTTTTTTCTTCCGTACGTTTTTCAGCTCTTTGAATCCTTGAACAATCCTGCTGTGACTTTTGGTCTTGGTGCAACTTTAGCTGTTTGAAGTATTTAGCCTTTTCTGCCATTTTTTTCTCTCAGAAAATGAACCGAGCTCATTTTACATCCTTCAAGTCTTTAGATCTGTTACAACCTTTTACTGCTCCTTTCACATTTTGCTCTGCTTCAGCTACTTTCAGCTTCTTTCAGCTTCTTTGTGCAAATTTAAACTATTTTGCAGCTAATTTCAGCTGTTTTGTGCTCCTTTTAGATTATTTCTGCTAACTACAACATTGTTGTGCTTCTACTTCTTTTCGCTCCTTTCAGCTTATTTCTGCAAGTTTCAGCTTTTTCTGCCGTTTCAGCTCATACTTAGCTGTTTTTAAGCTAATTTTAGCGCTTTTTGTGGCTAATTTCACATTTTTGCACTCATTTCAACTTTTTTCAACCTAATTCAGTAAAAATGTGCTCTCTCCACTTTCTTTTAGTATTTGAGCTTCTTTCTGTTTATTATTATTTATTTTTTTTAGATATTTTTCAACTTTTTTGTACAAACTTCAGCTTTTTTCAGATAATTTCCACTTCTTTGTGCCCATTTCTGCTTCTTTCAGCATAATTGGGCAAACATGTTCTTTCTGCTTTCTTCTGCTAATTTAAGCTTGTTCTAACTTTTAAGCTAGCCTTTTAGCAATTTAAGCTAATTTCAGCTGTTTTCAGATAATTTCAAGTTTTTTCATGGTCATTTCTGCTACTTTCAGCCTAATTAACTTATTTGCTAATTTCAGCTACTATTTAGCTCTTTTGATGCTAGTTTTAGCTTTTCCAGCTAATTCTCCATTTTTTAAGCTCATTTCAGCTCTTTCTGCTTCCTTCTGGTAGTTTAAGCTTCTTTTAAGGTAATTTCCTAATATTTGTGCTCATTTCTGTTTCTTTAAACCTAATTCAGCAAATATGTGTTTTGCTTTCTTCTGCTAATTTAGGCTTGTTCTTCCATTTCAGCTACATTTCAGATTTTTTTTTACTTAATTTCAGCTGTTTCTCGTCAAGTTCTTCTGCAATAAGCATTCACATTGCATTTTTGCAGGAAATGCAATTTCTCTATTTTTTTGTAATTAAACGGAGGTTCCTGTGTGTGTGTGCAGTCGGACCTCGAAGTACTCCTCCATGGCTTCTCTGACACGTGTGACGTCATGAGGCGGCGCCACCAGGTTGTCTTTGGCGTCAAACACCGTTTTCACGGCCAGATGAGCCACCCAGAAAGCTGAGAGGGAGACGGAAAACCAAAACTTGAACAACTTAAAGTCAATTACCCGCAGGCATCTCGTCACCATGGTTACCTGAGCCTTCATCTCCCATCAGGTGGCCCCAGCCTCCGCAGCCGACCTGCGAACCGTCAGGATTGACCAACTTGCAGTTGGAGCCGGTCCCTGATATCAAGACGACGCCTCCTGAAGAAAAGGACAGAAGATGAAATTTTTTTTTTTGTGTTGGAGTCATAAAGTTTCGTGAGACGCAGAAAGAGCGAAGACACTCTTTGACACACCGCTGAGGGTGAAATATCACACCTCCACCCTGAAACATGGAGGCTAATATATTCTCAAAGAAAAACCCGAAGAAAACATTTAGCTCCTTCGGGATTCATATCAACAGGAAAAACAGGAAGTCAACTGGAAAAACTGCATTTTATTGTGAAAGCGTGGAGTAAATGCAGAACGAAAGCTAAAATGAACCGAAGACGCTGAAACTGAACTCAAACATTCAAAATACAAACTAAAAGCCAAAAGCTAAAAAGGAGCAAAATGCTAGGTCAAAGCTAAAAAGGAGCAAAATGTGAGCTAAAAGCTAAAATACTCAGGCCAAGTACAAGCTAAAAGCCCAAAGCAGCAAAAGAGGAAAAGGCTTGATAAAAGCTAAATGAAGCAAAATGCTAGCTAAAAGCCAAAAGTAGCAAATGGCTAGGTAAAAGCTAAAAAGACCAAAATGCTAGCTAAAACTAAAATGGAGCAAAATGCGAGCTGAAAGCTAAAATACTCTAAATACAAGCTAAAAGCCTAAAGTAGCAAAAGAGGAACAGGCTTGATTAAAGTGAAATAGAGCAAAACACTAGCTAAAAGCCAAAATATTCAAAATCTGAGCTAAAAGCCCAAAGCAGCAAAGTGAAAGACACTTGCTAAAATGCAGCAAAATGTTAGCTAAAAGTGAAATGGCGCAAAATGCTAGCTAAAAGCTATTTAATGCAATAAAGTTAGCCAAAAACAGCTGAAGTATAGCTAATACAAATACAGCAAAAGCTTAGCATAAGCAGCAACAATTTTTTTTTTAGAACAAAAGGCTAGCCAAAAACAGCCAAAGGTTAGCTAAAAGCTAAAAGTATCGGAACAGTGGCTCAAAGCAGCATAAGGAGATAAAAGCAGAGCAAGTGTACCGCGATCGCTGGCCGTTGCCATGGCGCCGATGGCGTCGGTGGTGATGAAGTAGTGCTGGCTGAGGCCGGGGAAACGTTCCTTCATGACGGTGATCAGATGGTCGATGGCGTCTTTCTGGTCTCCTCCGCTCAGAGACATCCCCTTCACACAAACGCACGGACGTTAGTTTTTACTGTGAATTAAATCAGCCTTCTGCACAATCGGACCCACCAGAGAGCGTAACGGGGCGCCTGGATCCAGTCCTGCCTGGACCTTGGCTTTCTGGACCATGTCGTTGATGGTTTCCAGACAAGCGTCCACGCCAACCAGCTGTCGTAAACACAAACCAGAGTTTCCTGATAAGATGAGCTGACTGATAAGAGAAGTATGTGTAAAGTGTCCCACCCAGACCTTTATCTCCAACCTGTCTCACCACCACCTGTTCTCACCCACCCAGTGGTTGGTGCAGGGTCCAACTGTCTCTGCCAGAACCCGCCCATCCCCGGACAGCAGCACTGCTTTGGAGTGGGTCCCTCCTCTGGATGACAAACACAGAAACAAAGTTAAAAAGCCGGTGAGGAAGTATCTGTCTAGCTCATAACTTTAGGTCCAAGGTCACAGCGATCCACTTTTAAACAAGCCGGGCGAGAAATGATCACGAGATTCACGCACAGCTTCCGCTTTGGACGAAACTTGAATAAATAATTTCACTTTCTACATGACAACTTTAAAACGGGAGCAGAGGCTAATAGTATAAACAAACCTATACTTATATAACATAAAACTAACAGTATAAAGGTTGTCTAGTGTGATTAAACTTTTTCTTACCCCTCTATTCCTCCGAACACTGATGCCATCTTCCTGTTTTGGTCTCTAGTGGAAGCAGTTTCAATGGAACGAACAAATCTCGCCAACTCAAATCTCGCGAGAGTTGAGCCTCAGCCGCAATGACACTCAATGACCAGTAGGTGGCAGCAGCGAGCTGGTGTTGAAGTCAATGGGGGTATTGCAGCTTAAATGTTAAACAAACTTGGAATTTATGTATTTAATAAAATTTATTTTTGTGTATTTTATACACAAAATATACTAGCTTAGCAAACATGCAACAGTTTAAAGAAGAAATAATGATTGTCCGTGGACTATTTTTTCAGTTTAGATTTGAGTCATATTTACGACTATTCATTATCACCAGCTGTAAAAGGCTAAAATGTGTTTTTTATTTGTCTGTAGTGTGGGCAAAATATCTCATGATGCAGTTTACAGATTAGGTTATTTTAATGTATTTTAAAAAAAATCTTAATTTGGACACTGAGCACTTTATTTCTTACTTTTTTAAGATTTTGTTTGTGTTTTTTTTAACTTTGTTGCTACTACAAAACACAAAATTTCATCCTAGTGTATTTGAATAGTCGTAAAGACAACAAAAACAACTTTCTGCAATATAAAAAGCCAAACTAAGCGATATAAAAAGAATAAGAGGAAACCCAGGCCAATTGAAACCTATTTTACTTTCTTTAGTCAGGCCTTAAAAATCCACGTTCCGTGTCAAACTAATGTCAGCTAAGATTTAATAGTTCTGGAGACAGCAGAGTTTCTCTGAGAGCCAACAGGAACCAGAGGCATCTGCAACACATTAATTGTTGCCGGGCGGCTTCACTTGCCAATGTCGACTGCAAAACTAAAAAAATCCTGTACTATATGAATGTATTCATATAT